CTGATAAGTTAAAATTATAGTTAGCAATTTCTAATAGTTGTTTATAAATAAATTGTAGTTGAAAATATTCAAAATTAAGTGTATTATAATAGTAATATTAAAAAAATTTGGTGTTTGAATAGAGTGTCTAATTCTAATAAAATATATAAGATCAAAATAGTTGGCATTAAAGTTAAGAGTTTTATTATATGTATTAACTTGACTATAAAATTTAGTTAAAACATTAATAAGAAAAATAATTATACATTTGTTAGCTATTGTGTAAGAATTAAAATAACAGTCTAAGCATGCATTTGGTTGAATAGCTTTATAATTAAAATTAACAAGTAATTGTTAGAAAAACAGTTGTTAGAGAAGTAATACAAATTGCTAGTAACATAAATTTGTATTAAATTGGTTAAATAAGATATTCAAAGTCAAGTTTGTTAAAAAATCAGTTATCAATTCTAGCATTAATAAATTTATTAAATTTAGTTATTTAACTTATATAATAACTAAAATATATATATATTTTTTTTTTAAATATTAAGGTAAGTACTTGCAGCTCAGAATTTATAATAACTAAAATATATAAGCTAATTAAAAGCCAATATAATAGTAAAAAAATAGAATTTTATTTTTTTAGCAATTAGGATTAATATATTAATACAGGTTATATATCATTGTTAGAAAAATAATACAAATTGTAGTTGGCATAAATTTGTATTAAACTGGTTTAAATAAGATATTTTAAACTTGTTTGATAAAAATCTAATTATTATTCTTAATCTAGTTATTTATTAAATGCTAATTAAAATAAGTAAAATAATCAAAAGCCAAGATAATAATAATAATAAATATAAGCTTATCTTTCTAGTAATAATCTTAACAATTAAGGTTAATTTATTTTTAGAATTGAGATATGTTGTTGTTAGGGAAATGATACAAATTATAAATAATATAAATTTGTATTAAACTGATTAAATAAGATGTTCTAAACTCAAGTTTAGTAAAAAAACTAGTTATTATTCTTGAATCTAGTTATTTATTTAAGCACTGACTAAATTAGATAAAATAATTAATAAGTAGTTGTGCAACATTGTTGTGTAAAATCAGGAATAGGAAAAATCTACACAAATACTATTTTAGTTAGAAGAAACCATATTTTTATTGCAATTCATTCCTGATATAAAAAAATAACTTTTTATAAAAGAAGGTAATAGTACTTGCAATCTGAATATTGGTTTGAATTTTAGTAACTGAGCCTAAAAACCTATTAATAAAGTCAATGTCTGACTGCTATATAGTTGGTTAGCTAGCATTATTCAGTTCTAATAAAATTTTAGACCTTACAGAAAACATTAAAAACCTATGAAACATATTTATATTTAAAAATGATCAACAAATTTTTTTAATTAAGTTTTTAATAATCAGTAATTATCATTTTATTAGCTTGATAAAAAATTTAATAAAAAAAAAATTACCAAATATTTAGCATTGAGGCCTTTAAATTTATATTAAAACACTAATTTTTGTGTTTAAAAAACTTAATTTTCTATTATTTGTTATAGCATCTTCAATTTTATAGATGTATATATTCATTTATGTTTTTTTTAGTATTGTATAATAAACAAGTTATGCAGACTAATCAATTCTAAGATTTTGCATACAGAGGCATTTGTTTCTGGTATCTACCTTTTAAAGTATTGTTAGAAGCTATATAAAGTTATAATAACAAATTACTTAATTATATGCTAAGAATTATATATGCATATTTAACTTGCTTATAAATGTTGTTTCTGGTATATCAATATAAATAACAAACAATTCAAAAATTTAATATTCTTGCCAGAATGTAATTATCAATGTTTATAATAATCAGTAAAATACATTTAATTTATTAATATTTATTTTGGCTAAGTTTTTTAAATTACTCATATTTAGCATAATGTGTACTTGCTTCACAACTAAAAATTCAGCATAGTGCATACTCACTTTATACCAAAAATTCAGCATAAGATATATATATATATTTAGTTGTAACAAAATAATTGATATGCTTAAATAATTAGTATATACCTTAATATTCATAAATTAAATTATAATTAACATTAGTAAATAACATTTCATATATATTATTTTAACTCAACAAAAAATACTAATACAATAAAAATTATAGTCAACTAGTGCTAGTTCAAATCAGGCAACCCTTAACTATAACCTAAATATCAAAATTTTAATGATTAGTTCATTAATTCAATAACAAATACTATAAAAAAAAATAGAAAATCCCTAAAATCTAATAAACATATGCAATAATTCACATTAGATCACTAGTATTTATGTTAAAAAATCATTCTTTTATTATTATTTATTATAAAATCTCTAATTTAATAATGTTCTGAGTTTTATTTTTATTTATCTTATATATATAATAGATATAATATATGATTATGTATATAAATACAGGTGCAATAGCCAAGCTGCTAGTATAAAATGTGAAGTAACATGCAAAAAATAGGCAATGTATAACAATATAGAATAAATAGAGTTACATGAACCAATCAAGTGCCAAGAATAGCACAGACATATTAACTTGCCTGTAAACTATACATTACATTGTATATTGTAAACATTCTTTTCTTGATAAAGCCAATATAATTATAAATCAAAATATGAACTCATCTTTCTAGTAATTATTTTGACAATTAAATAAGTTTATTTTTAAAATTAAGATGTTTTGTTGTTAAAGAAATAATACTAATTCTAGGCAGTACAAATTTAGTTAAATAAGATATTCTAAACTCAAGTTTAATAGAAAACTAGTTATTATTCTTAAATTTAATTATTAACTAAGTGCTAACTAAAATAAATAAAATAATCAAAAGCCAAGATAATAATAATAATAATAAATATGAACTCATCTCTCTAGTAATTATCTTGACAATTAAGGTTAATTTATTTTTAGAATTAAGATATTAATATGTTGTTGTCAGGAAAATAATACAAATTGTAGATAATATAAATTTCTATTAAACTGGTTAAATAAAATATTCTAACTCAAGTCTAATAGAAAACTCAAATTGAGTTATTTATTCAAGCACTAACTAAATTTGGTAAAATAATCAAAAACAAATATAATTATAAAAAAAAATATGAACTCATCTCTCTAATAATTATCTTAACAGTTAATGTAAGTTTATTTTTAAAATTAAGATGTTTTGTTGTTAGTAAAATAATACAAATTGTAGATGATATAAATTTGGTTAAATAAGATATTCTAAAGTCTGATAGAAAACTAGTTATTATTTTTGAATCCAGTTATTTATATAAGTGCTAACTAAAATAGATAAAATAATTAAAAGCTAATAATTATAAAAAAAATACAAACTTATTTCTCTTCTTAACAACTAATATTTATTTAGTTTATAATTAGAATTATTGTTTTGTTAGTTGAGATGAATATTTATGCAGTGATTTATACAGTTTTATGCAGTTTTATACTTATTTTATATAAGTATTTGTGCATAAATTCACATAAATTATTGATCTATGCACTTGATATTACATAAATGCCCATCTCTAGTTGTTGGTTTAGATTATATATTGTTGTTAGGAAATAATACAAATTTAAAAAAAAAAATAATTTATTTAAAAAGAAATATATTATAAAATGGGCTGAAATATCATTTGTGAAAGTAAAAAATAATCTTAGAAGTTGCTTCAAATTTATAAGAGAAAATAAAAAAAAGATGCTTTAGTATAAAATTAGAAATAAAATAAATTACTATATTGTATTGCCCAAAATCTTCTAAAAATAAAAAATTAGTCATCAATTAAAATACAGATAAGACTGAAAGATATTGAAATCTCTTCATCAATTTTAAATATAAAAAGAAGAGATTTTGAATCAATAAAAAATTATTACATAGTGATAAAACAAACATTTCTTTATCTTAAAATAAAAATTTTATAAAGATCTTTTATATTAAAGTTATTGCTTATCTTTTAAAATCCATAAACTTTGAACATTATTAAAGTTTGCTTATATAACAAAATAAACTTTTTTTATTACAATCTGTTATTAATTATGAATTAGAATTATGAAGTATATGAAGTAGTTAATACTATATATAGTAATCAAAAGCTTGTAATTTGTGAATATTTATATGAAAAGAACAAGAATTATAAAGATTCCTATTATTGGTGTTGTGAATATAAGGATACTTATTATTATAATAGAAGAGCAATTACAAAGTTAAAAGGCCAAAAATATATTTTAAAAAAAGTTAGTAGCAGCTATAATTATGCATTTGAAGCAGATTAAATAGATATAGTTCAAGCACTAAATGATATAAAAGAAATAGCATCTCAAACTCATGATAAGCTATCCCAAATTATTTAAAATATAACAATTAATATGCCTGAAGTTTTTTTTTATTATATGCCTAATAATAAGGCATTGCACAAACAAATTTCTTATATTTAGAATAAAAATACTTTTTTATAATCACAATCATTACAGAAAATCAATGTTCCTATTTATTTGCAAACAACTATAAGAGAAGAAAGGTTTTTAGTTAAAAAAATAAATCATAATAATAAAAAAATTATATAATTTTTTGTACTAGTAATAATCTATTTTATTTTAAGGATTCAAATTATTAGATTATAGATGAGATATTTAAAACTTTTTTAACAATTATATACTATCTATGCTTTAGTTGAAGAAGTAAATAATTCTCAAGTTTTCTCTTTAATATATATTTTAATAACTAACCAATTAGAAGATTCTTATAAAAGTATTTGAAAAATTAATAAACTTAAGTAAAGAAGCAAGTTATAATTTAAATCCAACTATAATTATTACTAATTTTAAATAATTAGTTATTAATACTGTTCAGTTAAAGTTTTCTAATTCTATTTATAAAGTCTGTTTCTTTTATCTTTGTTAGAGTTTTTGAAAAAAATTCAAAGTAAGCAGTTAGCTACTAAATATGGCAATAATAAAAGTTTTAGTTTTAAGTTTTGCTATCTAATGCTCTTGCTTTTTTTTCTTTTTCAGAGATTTCAATAGTATTTGATGCTATTAAGTCTTCAATGTCTTTTAATGCTACTGTAATTGTCAACTATTTTAAAAACAATTATATTAATAGAAAAATCTGTCAGCAGCTCCATAATGGAGTTGCAACTTGTATTGCGCCTTTGTTTCTATTATTATTTTGGTCAGTATATGAATTAGTTACAAATAGATTTCTTAGAACTCAAAACTTAATAGAAAGATAACATATTGGTACCTATACAATTATTGAAAAGATGTGAAAAGAACAACAAGTTGATTTGCAGATCAAAAGTGTTTAGTGTAGTAAGCCTCATTCACGACAATGTAAATGTTTAATTAATTATAAAAGAAGAATTCTATTAGTCTTTAATAATTGTAATACTTATTTACTTATTAATTTTTTTAGAAGCATAGCATACAATATTTTTTTGTAATCTTTGTAAGTAAAATACTATAAAGATGTTTAAGAATAATTCAAAAGGTGATTTATATTTTCTTATTTTTCTGGCTTTTTAAATAAAATATTATGAATTGTTATTTGATTTTTAATTTACTACATAGTATTTTTTTTTATATAAATCTTTTTTTTATATTCTATAAATATATATATATATAGTAAAAAATTTTAACAATATATAAATTTAAGCAGTAAATAAAACTGTAAATTTTGTATAATACATAGTAATTTATAAAAAAACTAAATTTATAAATTAATTAACTGGTATACATATTAGGTTAATAAGCTATAACTTTAGTATATATTAGCAAGAAATAATTAAGCTATAGAATACTAAATAAAAAAAGCAAAATTGCAAATACTTAATTTAGAACAACTAACAAATTTAGCAATACATATATTAATACTAATTCTAGTACTTAGCAAGTTAGAATTATATATTATTAGATATAATATCACTACTTTGTATAACATCTATTTGGTGTAAAGAAAATTTCTTTGTAAATATTATTAGAATCTTCCAAATAAGAATAGTAATAATAATGTTAATATTAAAAATTTTTTTTATTAATATTTTTTTTTTGATGTTAAGGTGAGGCCTTGCTTATATATTTATTAATAATTTAAAATATTTATATATATATGCTGTAGTTGAAGCCAACACTTGTAGTCAGAGTTAACTATTAAACTGCTAACTATATAGCTACTACTATTTATACAAAACAAATAAATTAAAAAAATTACAAGTTAGAATAAAAGCTTAAACTAGTTTATCTGTAACTTAAACCTACTAAAGTGGTCAAAGCTTACTTAGATTTGAATATTTAATATATAATTTGATAATATGCTATATTTAATTTATAAAATAGGCCAAATGTTAATTTTGCAAATTGCTTAGCCAATAGGAGAACATGTATTTATATGAAAATATAATTGATCAAAAAGTTTGCAAAGACATGAGTAAGTGTAGTCTTTTCAAAAGTATGTATATTTTGTAATTAGATAGGTAATGTGACAAATTTAATGTCAAGTCTAGAAATAGAAGCAAATGTGATGAATTGTCACTAAAAAAAGGGTTGTGCTGCATAATATTCCTCAAAGATAATAGAGACAGTTTAACAATTTGGCACAAGGTCAAGGCAATCATTTAAGGAGTGTTACAAGATAAGTACTATGGTTTTTTTAAAGAGTGTTATTGTATTAGTAGTTCAAAAGGGTCTTTATTAATAACTTTATTAATATTTTATAGGGGCAGTACATGTATATTGTTAAAGGTTATTTTGAACTATGCTGAACTATTCTGAACTATTCTGAACTGTCTTTTGAGAAGGGGAAATTCCAGCTTTTTTATAATGAATTGAATGAAAGAAAAGCCTATACAAGACCACAACTCTTCTTATTATTATTAACACTTCTCAACCTTATTTGTTATAACTTTTAACCCCTTCTACACAGCTTTCATTACTTTAACATTTCTCATGGCTTCAATGAGAAATGTTTCAGTTATATAATTCTGAGTCCAGAATCCATCATATTGTCTTCAATCGCACCCTCTTGATATTATCTTACATCTAACCCAAATAAGGCAAATAAAGTTAATGTCCATTCTCAGTGTGACAGGTTGGTCCAGATCAACTTTACTTTAATTGAAGGAGTGGTTAGGTTCTGTATGAAGGCTTGTATACTTTCATATATCATCTTTTGGGGCTGAGCACATATGTTTCAGATGGATCATTATGGGCATCTCTAATTAGATAAGTATGCCACAATGACATTTATTTCACAGATTTCATGAGGTGTCAGTTTACCTCTGACAGTAATCAAAAAGTATCAGAAACAGAGTTTGTACAACATACAACATAATGTATTGTTTACAGACAAGTTAATATGTTTGTGCAATTCTTAGCACTTGATTGGTCCACATGACTCTGTTTATTACATAATGTTATGTGTTGCCTATTTTTCATATACCATTTTAACCTTATACTAATGGCATAACTATTATATATATGCTTGTACACATTAGCATTTAATATTTAATATATGGTTTATAGATGTCTGTGCGATTTTTGGTATATAATTGGGTAATCTGTCATTATGACTTTGTGTAGCATCCTAAACAACACTTTAAAAGGTAGGTATCAGGAACAAATGTCTCTTTATGCAAAATTTTGAAATTGATTGGTTTATATACTTATTCATCATTCAATATTTTTTAAAAAAATATAAATGAGTGCATACATTTGTAAAATCAAAGATGCTATAACAAACAATAGTAAAAATAAGTTTTTTAGACACAAAAATTAGTGTCCTAATATAAATTTAAAGGCCTCAATGCTAAATATTTGGTAATTTTTATTTTTATTCATTGAATTTTTTATTGGGCAAATAAAATAATAATCACTGATTATCAAGAACTTAATCAAAAGAATTTGTTAATCATTTCTAAATACAGATATGTTTTATAGATTTTTAATATTTTCAAATTCAACAGAACTGGTAATGCTAGCTAACCAACTATATAGCAATCAGATATTGATTTTTTAATAGGTTTTAGGCTTAGTTACTAAAATTCTAACTACTATCAACTTCTTTTATAAATAGTCATTTTTTTGTTCAGAAATGGATTGCAATGAAGAATATAGTTACTCATGACTGAAATGATGTCTGTATAGATTTCTCCTATTTCTAGTTTCATGCAACAACATTGCACAGCTACTTATTAATTAATTAATTAAGGTTGAAATCTATTTTGTTGCTTTTTCTAGTTAGAAAAATAAATGCAATATGTTTTTCATAATTGCTTATATAATTGTTCATTAATATTAAGAAGAATATTAGGATCTCCTTTAGTATAGGTGGGCATATATAAATTATTACAAAATTATAATATATAAAACCCATCTAATTTAGGCCAATTTATATTATAACTCTAACCCTGACCCTAACTATTTGTAAATTTACTTAAATTGATTCAAAATAGTTAATTTATATATATTATAATTAAATAATAAACATATTTGCCCACCTATACTAAAGATCAACTGAATATTAATAATAATTTAAAAAACAGTTTTGTATAAAATATCAGAGTTTTGAATTATTGATATAAGTAACTTTGAAACAAGTTCTTTAAGAGTAAGATTAGAATAAAATGTATTAAGTAATCTGTATAAGAAATTAAGAGCTGAGTAATAAAAAATTTTGTTAATTAGATTATGTTTTTAGTAAATATCAAGGTCAGGTAAGTTATTAGAAATAATTTAAGTAGTAGAGGTTTGAATAATTTGGTTAAGTAAGAATAAATTAGCACAAATATACTAGTAAAAAAAGAAGTTAAATAAGTTATAATGAAAACAGTATATCTGAATATTGGCTTGGATAAATAGTATAATATAATGAGTATATCAGCTGCTCATTAAAAAAAATTTTTGTTTTAAAAAATTTTAGTTGATTAAGTTTAAGTTAGTAATATTGTATGAAGGTTTTTGGTTGTGATTAAAGTAAAGCCAAGTAGATCTTCAATTAATATCTTAGTTGAAGTATGATTATTTACTATTTCATTTTTGTGATGCCTATATAGTTGAAATATAAGCTTTACAAATTTGTTTAATAAAATATCTTGTAGAAAGTTCTATATAATGCTGTTCTCATTGAAGAATATGATAAGGGTTGTAAAGATTTGTATAATTAAATAAAAGAGATAGTAATAATAAATATTATTTAGCAAAAGAATCTGCTTGCTTATTAAGATAGTTATCTGAATGAGCTTGCATTTTGTGAAGAATGCTTTGTAGTTTATATAATTTAATAATATTTAGAAGAGTATACCATATTGGCCATGAATTGAATTTAATAACTTATTAGGATAAGTTGGATTAAGTTGAAGATTATTGAATTTAGAAATTACTAATTAAGAGTTAGTAAAAATATTAATAACTGAGTTTTAAAAGGTTGTTAAAATTGCAACAATGATTGAAAAAAGTTCTGCTTTATAAAATAAGGACAAAATTGTATTTTAGCAAAAAAGAAATTAATAATTTGATTATTATTGTCAACTTAAATTTAATTAATACTCATAATGCATTGGTTAGTACTAATATCAATTACAAAATCATCAGTATAGAAAGATAGTTGTTGATAAAAAAAGTTGTAATTAGAGATAGATATAAGTTTATTAGTAGATTTGTTTGAAAAAAATTTTTAGAAGCAATTAAGTTAATAATAGAAATGTTTAATAAAGCTAAAATGTGAGTTGGATGTTTATCAGCTGTAGAGCAAATAAGATCCAAGTAATTAGCATTAGGTTAAGTTGATAGTTTGGATTAGTTTTGTTTAAAAATTATGCTAAGATAATTGCTAAAACATTAATAATACAAGTTTGATTACTTCTATAAGAATTAAGATGACATTCTTTTATATTTTTTATAATTAACAAAAGGTAAAGAATAAAATTTTGTATAGTTTAGAAGTCCAATAAGTAATAGAGTAATGATTAAAGAATGAAAAATATTTTTATATTTTTAAATAATAATTTTATTATTATAGTATAAGAGTAACCAAAGTTTAAATTTGGTGAATTTTTTGAATATATAAATGGTATAATAAGCATAGGAGTTATGACCGAATGATTGGTAGTGTGATAGAATATTTTAATAATAAGAGTGTGCTAAAATTGTATCTTTTAAATAAGAGAACCAAAGAGGGTTTTGCCTTTAGATAGATATAATAGTCTTGGTGAAAGATGTTTTCAATCAAGTAAGGTACTATTATCTGTTGTGCAAAGTTGTTCAAAATATATAATGTTTGCTTGTCTAAGTTGCTTTTTGAAAGTTGAATATTTTAAATGTTGTAATAGAATTAATTCTAATGATTGGTTACCATTACTAATTATATGAAACCAGATTGAATTGGAATTAGCTGAAATAGTTAAGCCAAGATAAGTAAGAATTTGGATAATTCAAAGTTTAATAAATTTATATTAGAGCCATCAATAGTAAGTTTAAGATAATTTAATATGCTAGTAGAAGACTATAAGTTATTTTATAACTGAAGTCTAATTTGAGTTGTAGTTTTAAGAAGATTAGGATTGTTAATTCATTGAATATAGTTAGAAATATGATGCTGGAGTTGAATATTCTAAATGTTGCATATGTTGTATAAAAATAGGTTAACCATTGTTCTGTTTGGTATAGATCTAAAAAGATGTAATTTGTGTTTTGCTACAGTAAGGTATTTGAATAAAATTTGATTGCATACTATACAAAAAAGAATAATACTATGTAGTCTGTATTCTAAAGTTGGAATAATAACTGTATTAATAATATATGCAATTTGGTTATCTGTAATTTTCTTTGTACTAGCTATGTTAATGAGATTAAAAGCTTTTTCTTTTATTAGCTTGATGATTAAGAATATTTGTTGTTAAGTGTAAACCAGCATCCAAGAAACTTGAATGGTTGGTTTTTAGGAATAGAGTAGATTAAAGATTCAGAAAACCACAAAGAGTTGATAGAAGAATTTGTAGCTAGAATTGACTTAGTCAGATTAATTTGAATGTTAGCTATTTGATAAAAGAACATGGCAGTTTTGGTTATTAGATTAAGTTCTTCTTTGGACTTTGCAAACCAGAGTATATCATTCATATAGACTAAAACTAATACAGATGTTTTTAAATATTGAGTTTGAAGTGAGTATAGGTTGGTTTTTCAGAATATAGACAGAAAATATTCTAAAAATTGTGATAGTATTTTATTAATTTAAGGGTTATAATAGATTCTTTAAAATAAAAAAATAATAGTTTCTTCTTGATCTATACTATTTTTGACTAAGTAAAAATTAGTAAGTTCAAGATGAATATAACACAATTTTGATGATTAATAAGAAGGTTTATAAGTATGTTAATAAGAGGTTGTGGCATTGATATATGTTCAAGAAAGTTTAAAGTTTATAGAGTCATATGCTTTGCTCATGTTCTAAGACAAGAGCCAAGGTTGTTTGTTATTACAACTAGTATCCTCAATAATATTGTTAATTATATGTATAGAAGTAGAGGTGCTATTGACAGATAGAGCAATATAATTATAAGAAGATAAAATCGAATATTGAACAAATATTAGATTAAGATAATTAGTAAGAAGTTTGGTATATAGTTTTTTGATATGTTTGACAAAACTAATAGGTCTTGTATTAGATAAATTTCTATCAAAGATAGGTTTTTTAGATAATAGAAAAATGTAACCTTCTTTTCATTACTTAGATATATGATTAGTTTGAATGCATTAATTAAAAAAGATAGTTATTGTTTAGAGAAAGACAGGGTTTGTTTTTTTAAGAATTTCATAGCTAATAATAGATGGGTCACATGCTTTGTTGTTAGGAAGTTGGCTAAGAGTTGTAGAGATTTTGTTTAATAAAAATTCAGCTAAAAACTGAACTGTAATAGTTTGAATTAATTGTAGTCTTAGATTAGTACACCTTTAACCAGTTAGAGTTAAATTTCTGAGTGTTAGTAGGCCTGTAAATAGTTTAGTTTTTGAAGTGTTGTTTAATATATTTTTTGATAAGTTTGGGATTTGTTATAATATATTTTTTGATAAGTTTGGGATTTGTTATAATATAATTTTATGTTTTAATATTATTAATTTTTACAAAATCCTTATAATGGTTAAGTATACTATTGATTATTGCTTTAGGATTAGTTTGGAGTTTGATTAGTAATATGTTGGTTTATCTGTTCTCAGATTTGCTTGATGTTTTCTATATTACAAATATGATAAAGAGTTTGTTATTCAGTATTAGTACTAATAATCCAGCTTGGTATAAGTTTATAAAAATTAGGTATAGAGTGGATATTAAGTTGGTAAGTTAAATTAAAATAAAACATAGTATAATTAAGATATATTGGTATTAGTATTGTATTAGTTATAGAAGCTTTTACTTATCTAATAATACTATTTAATTTTTTGAGATTTTGGTAAAATAAAATAAATTTAGTAGAGAATGAATGTTGAAAATTATGAATTGTAATTTTTTTTGTTAGGAATATATTTAGTAGCTGTATTAATAATACTAGTTTAAATTTTATACTAAGTGGTTTTAAGAAATTCAGAGTTTTGAGTAAAGAAAAGAGCTTTGTTTGTAGTAATATTGTAAGAAACTTGATCAGCAAAGATTTTCCATTACTCTTTATTCATTATTTTATAATTAAATATTCTTTATTAAGTTTGAGTTGAATGTTTGTTTTTGACTATAAAGGCATGTAGAAAAGTTCAAGAGGATATAAGGATTTTGTGCTCATTTTGGGTACAGTTTTTTGTATTATTTAAGTAAAATAAGTTGAGATATTTAAGTAAAAGAAGATGAGCCCAGATGTAATCAATAGTACTATGATGTCTACTACTATATTAAGTATAAGAGAAAATGTTTGTATGATCAACTAGATCATAGATGTTATTATATTATAGAAATTGTAGTTTGTATTTAATAAATAAAAAAATAAAGTTATTAGGTAATACATTAAAGTTATCTAGTATTATAGATTAGATAATTTGGTTAGTTGCTTGTTGAATCTATTGGATAATAGTATTTTGTATTTAAAGTCTTAGTTATGAGTTTTCATATGACAAATAGATAGAAATAATTTAGAATTTGTGATTATGTTTAAAGAAAAGATTAATAATAATGATATAGCTAAGAAGAGTAATAATATTGTGTATATAAGATATAAGTTGTTTATAAATTATAAAGTGCAGTTTCTGCTTTAGAACTATTAGTATAAACCAAAAGTAAGAGTAATATTTTGAATTGTAAAATTTGGTAATAACATTGTCTTCTACTATTTTAGTTTTTATAATACTAATAATATTTAGAGAATAAGAGATACAATAATCTTTTCAAACTTATTATTTAAGGATTTCATTGTATCTTCAAACATTATAAATACAAATTATAAAATTTAAAAAAGAAATAATAGTAGTACTGGTTTGTGAGGAATAAGAGAGGACAAATTGTTTAAAGATGATAGTATAGAAAAGACTGGTATATTAAAAAAGGAATTTAAGAGTATATAATCTGGAAGGTTGGCTACAAAATGCCATAATGGTAGAAAAAATGTCTAGATAAAGGTTTAGGTTCATAAGATAGATAAATATAAGCTTTATTTATATTATATTTAAAGAATATTAGAACTGATTTTTTCAAATAGTTGTTGACAAAAAGTATCAAGAGATATGTAAATAAAATGTTGATGTATATATAATATTGAAAGAAATAGAAATTTGTAATATCAGAGAAATTTATTACAATAAGAATCAAAATAGTAATAATTAATTTTGTTTAATTAGAGGTTTGTCTAATAGTTTGTAGAGTTTATATAAAGTTCAATATTTTATTAGATAGTAATTTTGTTAATAAAATGATATTAGAAAATTGTAAAGTCATTTGATATAGTTTAAAGAATAATATCTTGTTTGTATTTTTTAAAAAAGTTGAATAAAATAATATTTGAGGAAATTAAGTTATCTTCTATAAGGTTATTTATTATATACTCAACTTGTATAACTATACAGAATATCATAGCCTGTCCTGTATATTGGGTTTGATTATTATTAATTTAATTCTTCATATAAATAAACTTAATCACCTATTTACTTATATCATTTTTTCTAATAATAGTCTAATAATTATAAAAGATATCATTATCTTAGAAACAATGATTGTATTTATTTACTCTACAGAAAAGTTTATTGAAAAGAATTATTAAAGAATATTGTAATATGATTTGATTATAAATTTTATTTTGTATTTTGATTAGTATTATTAGTATTTGATTTTGATATAATAATGTTATTATTAAGAAACTCTTATTTTTTTGAATATTAAAGGTGTTGATTTGATAAGAGTGTTTAAATTAAAAAAGATGAATTTAATTTTAGGTAAGTTAAATTTAATATTAAATTTGGAATATAAAATTTGTTGAACTTCAGAATAGAATTTTTTGTTGTAAGATTCTCTAATTGATAAAATAAAAATTTTATCATTTTTAAGAATATAAATGTAAATACTCAGACTAAGTACTCAGTACTAATAGGTTTACAAATAATTTATTGATAATTTGATATAGATAATGATTGTTAATTTAATCATTACTAATAATAGTACTTAGATAAGCTATAAAAGTAGTAATTCTCCCATGCTTGATTGATTTCAGTATCATTAAGTTTGATAAATTCTTTTTCAGTATTAGAGACAAGTTGTTGAAGAAAGGTAATAGGTGTGGGTTTATTAAAAGTAACAGCTTTAGGTTGATCATTATTAAAGGTTGAGAAGTCAAGAGTAAGATGTGTCCATTTAGGTTTGAACTGTGTATTATCATTTGATTTTGAATGTACAATCCAGTAATTTTATGTTCCTAATAGAGTTCTGCATGTGCCCATGCCAAGCATATTATCCACCATGTCGGGCACTAATGTCTGTGGCATGCCCGTGCCTGTACCTTAAAATTATTTGTTAGGCATGGGCACATGCCGGGCTGCAGATCCCTAGTCCCTACTCGGCACTGGGGAGTGGCAAACCATTGGTGCGACAAATAAACATTTATTATATAGATTTTACAGTAAATTCTTATTTCACACCCCATGATTGGACTCCAAGTGAAATGTTACAGCTATACTAGACTTAATCCGGTGCTCTAGTCAAATTTCCCTTCAACGCCTTTATTTTGTATGCGAATTAGCCAATCAAATCACAATACGTATCAGTTTAACATAAAAATCACGATACCTCAAAATACAAAATTTTTTATAGACAATTATGACACGATTCTCCAATTGGCTAATTCGTTATTAACAATTGTGTGGTCGAATTGGTTAATTTTATTGTCCAGTATTCATTGAAATATTTGAAGATACAGTATACACATATGGTATACCTTCAAAAAAAAATGCCAACATGGAATATCCAGAGACATTTATTTAAAATTTATACAATCAGGTCTTGATAATAATAGAGATTTAAAATCTCCTATTTAATATTATCACAAAAATGATTGAGTTTGTATACAGTAGGTCTCATATAATTTTAGTTATAAAAGCAGTAGTTGTATCACTAATTTTTGGTTATACGGAGTAAATAACTATCTAGACCGCGTTGCCGTAATTAACGGTGAGACATGCGTAACATGAGTTCACATAAAGGATAACAATATTTGTACATTTGCTATGCAATAAGACAATCAAAATACGACTTGAAGACTTTCATTTTCCATAATAGATTTAAATTTCTATATTGGGTTAAAATTTCAAATTATCGGAAGTGCACATGTACATACATACGTACGTACTATTACAACTTATACGTAGTAATTATTCTTAGCCTACGTATAGAAATTTTCAACCATGATTTATGATAAGTATTTAATTGGTTGAATCTTTTCTGATCTTTTAACTACAGTATAATTTCTATTTCCCCGTCCGGAGAACCAATAATGAGAACTCATTGGATTAACACGGTTCAACAAGATGACCTCATGAACTTTTAATGGCTTAAAAGTTTTGTGATTTATAAGCAAATATTTTTTTTATTTTCGAGACGTTTTTTGCATAACAATAATTTTCAATTTTCAATTACGTAATATCTTTAAAAATATACGATGTACAGACGTACGTACATGATTGTTTATCATGATAACATGCGCAGCACTTACATACTAGTTTGGACACCTGAGCTATTACGTTGTAAAATTAATCTAGTTTGGGCGTTAATCTATATAAATTCAAAATCGTAGGAAATTTTTAATGTCATATCTTTTACATATATGCTTTCGTGTAACCTTTCAAATATCTGCGTAATGCGTAATGCACACAACTTTTGTTCTCCGTGTTCAACCTATCGTTAACAAAAAACTACTTTTTCAACAATAGTTTCTTCGCGATTACTGCGCATTATTACAGCTTGTCAATAAACATTTGTATAAAAATTGTATAAATATCAACATCACTGTAAATATTAAAACTTATAGGATATAATGGAAGAAACCAAATTCGAAAACATCCAAAATTTTGAATTTAATAATTTCATTGATTTTAATTTCAATGAATTAGTAACAAATTCCAATTTAAATGAATTATTAGTAGATTCTAATTTAAATGAGGTTTTTACTTTAAATGAAATATTAAAAGATTCAAAAAAATTGTCAAATCCTATTTTTTCTCTCGAAAATTGTGATAACATGATATTATTAAATTTATTTAATCATTTTTTCGAAATATTTAATAAACATTATGCTCCAGTCTATGTAGTTAATATGCTCAAGCAATATTTTAAGGACTATAATTTAAATCCTGTAGACATTTTTCAAAAATTAATCAATCTTCAATGTATTTCGTTTTTTACAAGTTTGATTGGTTACTTTGGACAATTCGGTATTGGTACCGATGTTAATTATCAATTAGCTATTTCTTCTTACATACATGCTTCAAAATTTATCCTAAACACTTCGACTTCGACTTCTTGTGATGTTTTACTTTGTAATTTGGTTAGAAATAATCGTTTCATAAGTCAAATTTCTTTAGCTTATTTATATTTTAGTGGCATTGGCGTTAAAGAGGATATTAACTTGGCCTTTTCATTATATAACGATGCTGCTATAAATAATTTTGGTTTGGCTCAATTTTTTGTTGGTCAATGTTTTGAAAATGGTTATGGTGTTGAAAAAAATTCCTTAAAAGCCTTTGAATGGTATAAAAAATCCGCTGAAAATGGTTCGACTTTTGGTCTTTTTGGTCTTGGAAGATGTTATCAATTTAGTATAGGTGTTTCTAAAGATGAAAAAATTGCTTTTAATTGTTATTTAAAATCTGCTGAAGGTGGTAATTTTAGTGGAAAAAATAATCTTGGTTATTGTTATGAAATTGGTTTAGGTGTTGCTAAGAATGAAAAAAAAGCTCTTGAATGGTATTTAAAATCCGCTGATGCTGATAATACTAATGGTCAAAATAACTTTTTAAGATGTTATCAAAATGGCATAGGAATTGATAAGGATGATAATTCTGCTCTTTTATGGTATTTAAATTCCGCTGAAAATAATGATTTACTTGCTCAAAATAATCTTGGTTGGTGTTATCAATATGGTATAGGTATTACTAAAGATATAAAAAAAGCAATTGAATGGTATTCAAAATCTGTTGATGGTGATAATTCTAGTGGTCAATTAAACCTTGGTTATTGTTATCAAACTGGTGTGGGTATTAAAAAAGATGAAAAAATGGCTTTCGATTTATATTTAAAATCTGCTAAAAGTGGTAATTCTTATGGACAAATTTATCTTGGTTCTTGTTATAAAGACGGAACTGGGGTTAATAAAGATGAAAAGAAGGCATTTGAATGGTATTTTAAATCTGCTAAATCTAGTAATTCCAGTGGTCAAAATAATTTGGGCTGGTGCTATAAAAATGGCGTAGGAATTTCTAAAGATGAAAAAAAAGCATATAAATGGTTTTTAAAATCCGCCGAAGGTGGTAATTCTAACGGTCAAGGTCATCTTGGGTGGTGTTATTTAAGTGGAATTGGTGTGGCTATAGACGAAGAAGAAGCTTTTAAATGGTTTGAAAAATCTTCGGAGGGTGAAATTGTTAATTTAGCATTTAACTGAATAAAATTTATGTTTAAATGCTTTCAAAGACGAATTAATTATTCTTTCTTATTTCAAAAATTAGTTGCCGAAATTCATCTCCATTTGCAAACTTATTAAGCTTAGTCAAACCAATCTTTTCAGGATGATTATTATGATGATTATAATTATGATGATTATAATGATGATTATTATGATTAATATGATAATTATTCATTGGACATTAAAAATAGGGAATTGCTATTCGCACCATAGATTTTTGCTATTCGCACCATGGTATATAGATCATGACCAGAATTAGTTCATAATGTTAGTCTCCATGGTCCGCATAGTAATTCCCTAAAAATATACTTATTTCCAACCGCTCACATTATGAGCGCTTGCATTGTAAAGTAACGTTCGTTGTTTCCTAATAAAAAAAGTGTATACTTTGTTTATGAAAAATTCCTTGCAAATTTAGCGTAAGCTATGATTGGCTCAAACTCAATCTAAGGCCATACAAACAAAGTTTCCAGGCCGGGTAACTTATATGGTTAAAATTTTCCTACATTAGCATATATAATATTTTTTTTTTTATTCTTGCGTGAAAAATGTGACAAGAAGCGACTAAATTTTAAAAAATTTATTTGAACTTAGTATACACTAATATAAATATATAAATTTGCAAATATTATAGATCTAAGACGAAATTTTCGTAGTGAAACAATTTGAAATTTACAAATAGAAATTATTGTATTGAAAATCGTAAATAAAAATCATATTACACTAGGATGACATTAAATATTAATATTATCATTGGAAATATAGTCAATAAACCTGCTAAGATGAATCGTATTATTATCTATATTATTAAAAGCATCATTTTCAAATACCATTTCTTCATCAGATTTTAAAAATTCAGCTAAAATATCTGTATTATTTTTCCAATTTAAGATGGTTTCATGAATTTCAAGGGCTGATGGTCGTTTTTCTGGATCCATATCCCAGCATTTCTTCATAAGATTTTCATAACATGGCGCTGTACCTTTAATTATAGTTGGTCTCAATCCCTCGCAAATTTCTACAATCAATCCTACATCATTATATTCAGAAAATGTTGCTTTTCCTGAGGAAATTTCCCACATAATTATTCCAAATGAATAAATATCTGATGCTTTAGTAAACATTCCTTTTCTACGTAAAATTTCTGGTGCCACATACGGTAAAGCTCCATAAATTCCTTGAGAATCTTTCTCTAGTGCTTTATTAACTGCTACCGCGAATCCCAAATCTCCTATATAAGCATTATCTAAATTGCTTTGAAATATATTACCACTATGTAAATCTCGATGAATAATATTATGCGAATGAATTAAATTAAGATCAGATGCAATATAAGATAATAAATCCAATTTTTGTTTCCATTTCATTTGAGCAACATTATAAAGATTCTGACGTAAGGACCCCATCTCTGCATATTGCATCACTAAAATATATTTCCCAGTAACTTCATCTCTTGATACTCCATGATATCGCAAAAATGTAGGATTGTTAGATCCGATATTCGTATATGCATTTAACTTTTATTAAATTACAAGTATTAATAGCATAATTATTAAACCAAATTTAATACAAAATTTATTGATTATTAAATGTTTACCTCTTTTACAAGTTCTTCACAAGTTTTTGACCCATGAAATAATTTAAGGGCAACAGTTTCTGTCTTTTCTTTCGTAATAACATCCATAACTAAATGTTTCCATACAGCACGATGCACAGTTGCAAATCCACCTTTTCCAACTTTTGGCCCAAATTCCAGTTCACTGAACGGAATCCATGATATTAATAAGTTATTTTCATGTAATAATTTTTTTAAAAAATCATTAATATCAAGACTTTCATAATTAATTATTTTTGGAAGATAATGTTTTGACTTCTGCAACCATTCAATAGCTTTTTTTTGGTTAGGTGATACTCCTATACCATTACGATAGTATAATCCAAGCACATATTGACCACTAGAGTTACCACCTTCAGCAGATTTCAAAACCCATTCAAATGCCTTTTTTTCATCCTTAACTGTGCCTATGCCACGTTCATAACAAGATGCAAGATTATATTGTGCAATGACATCACCACCTTTAGCAGATTTTAAAACCAATTCAAAAGCTTTCTTTTCATCCTTGGTAGTGCCTATTCCATCTTTATAGCAGGTAGCAAGATTAATTTGTCCATAAGAATTTCTACCTTCAGCAGATTTCAAATACCACTCGAACGCCTTTTTTTCATCCTTTGCTGTGCCTATGCCATTTTGGTAGCAAAATCCAAGTTTATTTTGTCCATACGAATTGCCACCTTCGGCAGATTTCAAATACCACTCAAATGCTTTTTTTTCATCCTTTGCTGTGCCTATGCCATTTTTGTAGCAAAATCCAAGGTTATTTTGTCCATTTGAATTTCCACCTTCAGCAGATTTCAAATACCATTCAAATGCCTTTTCTTCATCCTTGACCGTGCCTATGCCGTTTATGTAGCAAAATCCAAGGTTATCTTGTCCATCCGAATTGCCACCTTCAGCAGATTTCAAATACCACTCAAATGCTTTTTTTTTATCCTTTACTGTGCCTATGCCATTTTGGTAGCAAACTCCAAGTTTATTTTGTCCATACGAATTGCCACCTTCGGCAGATTTCAAATACCACTCAAATGCTTTTTTTTCATCCTTTGCTGTGCCTATGCCATTTTTGTAGCAAAATCCAAGGTTATTTTGTCCATTTGAATTTCCACCTTCAGCAGATTTCAAATACCATTCAAATGCCTTTTCTTCATCCTTGACCGTGCCTATGCCGTTTATGTAGCAAAATCCAAGGTTATCTTGTCCATCCGAATTGCCACCTTCAGCAGATTTCAAATACCACTCAAATGCTTTTTTTTTATCCTTTACTGTGCCTATGCCATTTTGGTAGCAAACTCCAAGTTTATTTTGTCCATACGAATTGCCACCTTCAGCAGATTTCAAATACCACTCAAATGCCTTTTTTTCATCCTTTGCTGTGCCTTTGTCATTTTCATAGCAGAGTCCAAGATTATTTTGTGCACTATAATCGCCATTTTTAGCAGATTTTAAATACTGCCCAAATTTATTCATGAAAATTTTTTGCATTAAAAGTTATATTTAGTATTGTTTGATTGTAGCTTTTTCAGAAATATAAAATTTAAAAATTAGTTGAATGACAAATAGGAGTTTTATACGTAATACGTATTCCGTTGTTGTTACACCTATTATAATTTGTCACAATAACGATCGATTATTAGGATTGGGATGTTGATTCTGTGTAATGTCCAAGAAAACATGTATAAATAAAAAATCCCGATAGCTAAAAACCCCGACAGTCAAAAATTTCGACAGTTAAAAATTCCAGCAATTAGAAACTCCGATAAACAATATCATAGACCATAGCATACCCCTTATCTAAAGTGACCTAACCCTAAAGTTAATTAAATTATAAGGGTCTATTTCGCTTTAAACATATCCCATACTTGGGATTTTCTACCTAAAAATTCTGGCTTTCGGAATTTCTAATTGTCGGGATTTTCGATTATCGGAATTTTTTTTGTCGGGATTATTATTATCATTAAATAAAAATTTGACAAAATCCCGTGACTTTATAAATCTATTGTACATGAAAATATGATACGTAATCGGAAACAGATTATTTAACGAAAAGAAAGCGTTGGCGTATTACAATAAATTGTTGTTACCTATAATAAATATTTTATCACATTAAATTGCGTGGCTTTAAAATGCCATAATTTTAATATTTGCATTTTGGTACTGGATTATACATGAAATATTTCAGTGCCATGTTTTAAAACAGGATCAAAATTGGTATAGCAGTAATACTACAACGTTGTAGTATATATTTAATTGATAAAATAATAAATTTTGTAAAATAATTTTGATATGTATTTTCGAACTTCCGTTAAAAAAATCGTAAATCGGAAAAAAGCGGAAACCCATCCAATCAAATTTCGTGTAACCCAGATAATTTGTCGGTACCGTGTTTTATAACACGAAAACTGGTATAGCAACAGTTCGGTCATGACCGTCATGACCGATCATGACCGTGACCGATACCAGTTCGGTCACAAATCCTGACCGACCGAACCGACCGTTTGACCGACACTATATTTTGTTATTTTCATTGTAACTATATGTAAAACAATCATGATACAAAAATAGATTTGATTACAAATTTAACCAAATTAGCTAAATGATATTTAATAAATAAATGTATTTACGTACCAGGAACAAAGTACGTAGTGTATGGTTTACGGGTAAGTTAATGTTTCTGTACAATTCTCAGCATTTGATTGGTCCGCATGAATCTGTTCATCACATATTGTTAAAACCCGGAATCGATTATATTATATTTATTTAAGGTTTTTTTTCCAATGGGTTTTTTCTGGACTATAAGTCTAAATTTATATTTATTTCTATTATTAAATTTATTTTATAATAAAATATTACATCATTAACTATATATTATATCGGTCATGACCGCGGTCGGTTCGGTCATGATACATGACCGCTGATGACCGACCGTTGACATCCCTAATCGTGACCATACTATAATTGAACCAACTACTATAGCATAAATTGGTGACAATTGTTTAAATACATTAGAGCAACCAAGTTTTATTTACTAATGTAATGTATTATAAAGAATAATAATTCTTTAATAAGTCTTGACAAATCATATTTATTACAATTACTGTGCATTTTGTCATTTAGTAGTTATAATTCCACAAAAACCAATAAAAATTGAAATCATTCAAAATTTAATAAATAATTTAAAATTTCTATGGAAGTATGTACGCATCAAATTCATATTAATTTATTTCAAATTATGCAACACAACTTGAATTCTGTCTTAAGACTTATCAGTAAGAGCAGAAACACCAGGTAGCACTTTACCTATAATTTCAGTTAAATAGATTAATTTATTCATTCTTATAGATAAATCTGAAAAATCATCCCACGTAGATTAACTAAAATGAACAAATACCTTCAAGTAACTCCAAACTAGCACCACCACCGGTGCTGACATGTGAAATTTTATCTTCAGCACACCATTTAGCAACGGCTGTTGCAGTATCACCACCTCCAACAATAGTCTTAGCACCTCTTTCTGTAGCCTTGATGACTGCATCTAATACTACTTTTGTTCCTTTTGAAAATTTCTCAAATTCAAAAACACCTGGAGGACTGTTTAAATCAGTGATTAGTATACAAAAAATATATGGTACATTTATTACAATTACAAAGATATAAAAAAAAATACTATTCAAAGTTTTATAAAGTATACACTTCTCAAGTTACTTAATAACGTACCCATTCCAGAGAATAGTCTTTGCCTCACAAATGGCTTCAGTAAAAATTTCATTGGTTTTTTCACCAGAATCTAGACCTAGCCATCCTGCTGGAATACCAGATTCATCTGTAGCAGTACTAGTCTATTTAAAGATCGATTAAATCAGTTTCAAAAAATTATATATATATATATATAAGTAAATATGATATACATACTTCAGCATTTGCATCAAATTTATCTGCAATAATATAATCCACAGGAAATATCAATTTAACATTAAGGGATTTTGCCTTTTCAACTAATTCTTTTACGATTTTAGATCCTTCTTCATCAAAGAGCGAGTTGCCGATCTATAATGTTGTTCAGAACACGATAAGAAAAAATGTATCAAAATTTTCAATAAATAGAATGTAAAGTAATGTAATATAGATACCTCCATATTATTGATAACTTTTTTGAAGGTAAAAACCATACCACCTGTAAAATAGTTGAAACATCATTAAAACTATTAAAGATATATAAGATTATAATAATAAATAATAAATACACCTTACCACCAATAATCATAGAATTAACCTTCTCGAGAAGATTATTGATCAATTGGATTTTATCAGAAACTTTAGCGCTACAATTACCAAGTAAAAAATAATCCAGCAAAATCAATAAGAGCTATTAATAAATTCTCAAAGAGGCAACAATAATAATATGTAGCATACCCGCCAAGGATTGCCAAAAATGGACGATCTGGATCTTCTAAAGCCTTTCCAAAGAATTCTAATTCTTTCTTTAATAAAAGTCCCGCAGCCTTAACTGGTAAATCTACACCAACCATTGAGCTATGAGCACGATGTGCAGTACCAAATGCATCATTAATATATAGATCTCCAAGTTCTGTTAAAGAATCTCGGAAAGTTTTTAAATCATCAGAAGATGCTTTGATCTGGTTGAAATAAAATAAAAAATTGCAAATTAACAATATAAAATTAAGAATTTAAATTTGATGCAGATAGATAAACGTACCTTCTTTCCAGAATCATCCTTAGTGGAACCTTCTTCTTCTATATGGAATCGAAGATTTTCAAGCAAAATCACTTGCCCTATAAAAGAAATCAAATTTATTAACAGATAATGAATTCAAAACTCTCGAATTTTCGAATTAAATATGTGGTTACCATTACTGGCTTTAAAACAAGTTTCCCTGACTTTGGGACCAACACAGTCATCCAAGAACAAGACATCTCTACCCAATAGTTTACCAACCTCAACGGCAACAGGTTTAAGTGAATGCTTTGGATTTGGCTTTCCATTTGGACGGCCTAGATGAGACATCAGAATAATACATTTTGCACCTAATTAAAAAAAAAAAGAATGAGAAATAGGATTATTCAGTAAATTTGAAATTAATTAATTCTACTAACAAATATAAAACGTATATATATATATGAATCATATAACAAAATTACCCTTTTTTAAAGCCTCATTAATAGTGGGCAAGGCAGCTACAATGCGCTGATTATTTGATATTTTGCCATCTTGAAATGGTACATTAAAGTCAACGCTATTTGAAAATGAAAATTCAATCAATTTGTTTGAAACTTTAATTTTGTAATTTTATTAAAACTAGAAATTTTAATGTACCGCATTAAAACACGTTTCTCCGTTAAATCATCAATATCTTCGATTGAAAGTTTATTTGTAATTTTAGTGTTAGACATATTTTCTTTAAAACTTATTTTTTAAAGCAACTGGAAATTAATGAACTTGTATCGATGCTTATACGTATTCCGTATACACACATATTTTTATGACAGATTCTCACGCCATTTATATAAATTTTACTAATCTTGTATTACTGATGCATGATGTAAGTTAGATCTAAAATAGCAAAATTATCGTTATCGAAGAAATTCTTATTGGAGGAATTTGTAATTTACGTATATTCGAGCTCTAAAAGTATTAAATTGTAAACTATCTGGATATTACGTATAGTATTGGGTTTGGCAATCTCGATAACATATATTTAACCAATCATATTTCAAGACAGGTAATACACGCTAATGCTAGAGGTTGAATTAGGTTGGAACCGGTTTAAATAATTCGGGTTTATCACGTGTATTTTGTGATATTTTAGAAATTTATCCAATTAAATTTTAATAAATTCTAAAATATCACAAAAATCATGTGATAAAGCCGAATTATTGTACCGATACAGCATACACGTGATTTAGTCCACAGAAAAAATGGCCAACATTAAACTAATCGACACAGCATGGCCGGCATTAGAGTTAGGATTGGCGTTAGGGTATAGCGGAATTAGTCACGTGTATGCTGTCTTCCCATTACAGCATTATTAAAACCTCCAGCTAACGTTAAAGGTTTGCCATACATGTAACGAAACTAAAAAATCCGTAACCCAAATTTGAACTTACGTCGAATCAGAAACTCTTGTTGAGATTAATTTTATAAATTAAAAACATTAATATACAGATGTGCATAAACAAGACCCTAGGCTTTAAATTTTAAAGGCTGTCTAGCTAATTATAAATACAAAAGTGTGATGACAAATTTTCTTTTATTTATAATATTCAAATACAAATCAAATTATCGCTTCTTATTATCTTGTAAAATAACTTATCTGGATCGGCAGAAAAATCATTTGGCAAATTTTTACAGGTGTCCCAGAATTTATAAAACAGCTGTAATCCGATTAATTCGGTTATCCTTTAATTTTTAGACTTTATATAATAGGGGGGGTTAAAGTTAACAAACAAGGGGCGCATTTTGAAACTAAAAGAAAGTTTAATCATTTCAGATTTATCGTAAAATGAAATAAAGTTGATACATCGCTCTGTCAAAATTAGATTCCCGCACGTTAACTTTGTAATACCCTGCTCAACTTTCTCACATGATTTTGGTCAGGAGGAAATCTGTAACTAGTTAGTACGTTATTAGCTCAGTAAGTTATTTTATTATGTGCATAACGGTTAAGAAAATTTTTAACTTTACAATTAGTGATGCTAAAATTTAAACCAGTATAGCGAATCCTTGAATATTATCGTCTTGTGAGTTGCTTGCGAAATGGATAAAGAAGTATATAGAGATCAAGATTGGGTAAATGAATTGACCTGGCTTTCATTTTATTCTTTATCAATATTTCGTTTTCATGTTCACTGTCGAGCTCGATACTTCAACACTTTACTTCGTCGTTATCGTTGCTTCTATAAGGAGTTTCAGAATTAAGTTTGTTTGAAAATAAGTAGGAGTTTAAAGATCCTACTATGCCGATTCAATGAACTAAATAGACGCACACGTTACAGCTGTTACTAGCCGAATGGTTATTCTGCCGATTCGATAAATTATTGATTTCGGCATGATCAATGTATTGTTTATTATTTATGAAGATAGTCTAAAGCCTGGTACGTACGAAGGTGCTAATCGATTTATAAATTAAAACTCATGTGAAGCTACAAAGCTTCAAACGATCTCTACTTTCATGTCCTAACTAAAGTTTCATTTCTAATTGTAATTCATATAAATATCAGTTAGGCTTTTCTTTCATTAAAGTCTTAAGATATTTAATATCATTCAGATTTAATAGACATGATTTCTTACAAGTGGCGGAAGTCTTTCAACGCATCCATATCTTTGAGATTAAGGGGTTTCAAAGTTAACAAATGAGTGGCGCATTTTGAAATTAAATGAGAGTTTGAAAAATCTTAATTGTATTTCAAAATTTTAAAATTGGATGAAATGAAGATACCCATTTAACGAAATAAATAGACAAAAATCATCATTTCAAATTTGTCAAAAATAGATTCCCGTATCTAATTTGTTAAATTATCTACATTATTACCTTATATATTTATTACTTCCTATGTATAATTTTACATTTATTTAAAGCTTTTAAACCGTCAGCGAAGCGACTAGTATAGACAAATTAAAATACGACGATTTACAAAGTATGAATATACAAACAACATAATTGAAAAAACAATAGAAGACTACCCACTTAAAGTATAACGATAAGTATAGACTGCGTGAAAAGGGAAATTAGTAGGAATGGCAAATGATTTGTTTTAAACCAGTTTTATATTGCTTTAAAATGATTTTTTACATGATTAATAATAATGATATGACTATGATTATAAATTCGAATCTTATGATTTTTTGACATTTGTAACACAAATTGAAATAGAAAATTCGGAACCCAGAATTTTGACGTTATAGGATGGGATGAACAGAATTTAATTCTGAACAACTTTAATCAAAAGCTCAAAAATAAAAAATCATCACATTATTTAGAATTGACTATAGATAATTGTGACCGTTTGTGACCGAACCCATCCCTAATCATTATATTAACTGAACTTACAATAAATTGCACCCAGATACATTAACGGAAATATATTGTTTCAATTTCCAATGAACTATTAAATCAGTAATTGACTCTCATATTTACTGATTTGATAATAAGTTGAGCCCGATTTATTGACGCAAATACATTATTGGATCCAATTTTGAATGACCTATTTAAATCAGCAAGTGACTCTTCATATTCGTCGACTTTATAATCAGTTGCACCTTGGTAACTTAATGAAAATGCATTATTCAGTTCAATTTTCAATGATCTATTTAAGTCATCAAGTGCCTTTTCATATTTGCGGATTTTATATTATACTGCGCTTCGATTTCTTAAATGCATTGTGTGGTTCATTTTCCAATAATTTATAAGAGGATCTTCAAGTTTACTTATTTCAAAGTAAATTGAACCCAATTTTTCAACGCCAATGCATTATTAGGTTCAATTTTTAATGATTTATTAGAATCTACGTGTGATTCTTTCCCCATTTCCACAATTCGGTAAGTTGTCCCACCAGTTTTCAATATAGATGCATCATTTGGTTCAATTCCTAATGATTTATCTAATTCAACAAGCGATTCTTTGTATCTTCCTATTTCATAATAAGTTACACCACGGTTTTTTAGTGCTAATGCGTTATTTGGTTTGATTCCCAATAATCTATTTAAACCTACAAGGGCACGTCATATTTGCCTATTTCGCGATAAATTGCACTTCACTAATGTAATTTTATCAATGGGTCTAATTTCCAAATTTTGTTAAATCTGCAAGCGATGTTTTATTTCTGCCTTTTTTTAAGATAAATTTTACATTGGCTTACTAAAACAAATGCATAATTTGATTTAATTACTAGTGTTTCTTTATCTCACGAAATACGACCTTTTATACTTTAATCCAAATGCATTGTTTGGCTCAATTTCCAATAATTTGTCAAGACTGTGAGTGATTCATTATGTTTTTCCATATTAAGATAGAATGCTCCTCAAATTCTCAATACTAATGCATTATCTGTCACAAATTCTTATAATGTAGTAAAATCTTTAAGTGCATTTTCGTATTTTCATACATTATAATAGGCTACATCTCGATTTCTTAACGCAAACGCATCATTAGGTTCAATTTCTAAGATTTGTTTAAGTTTGCAATCGATTCTTTATATTTGCCCATCTCATGATAAGTTGCACCACGATTAGTTAGTATATAAATTTATTACTTGGCTTAATTCTAAAGATTTATTTATATAATCAAGTGATTCGCCTATCTCACGGTAAGTTGCACCACGATTAGTTAATGTAAAGGCATTATTTGGTTCAATTTCTAAAGATTTATTTAATCTTCAAGTGATGTTTTATATTTGCCAATCTCTCGATAAGTTGCTCTAGTGCTCCGCAAAATCAAATGAAAGTTTGTTCAAATATTCAAATTTGATCCTATATCTTTGCTAGATGAACTGTTCATTAAGTAAGAATAATTTATCAAAATCAAATTTGGTAATCAAATATTTGAAACTCAAACTTTGACTTGCGAAGCACTAAGGTGCGCTTATATTTCTTAATGCAAACGCATTATTTGTTTAATTTCTAATGAACTATTTAATTCTGTAAGCGATTTTTTATATCTGCCTGTCTTAAGTTATAAGAAAAATTTTAAATACACCTAAACTATTGATATCCAACTTTTCGTCAATTCTGTACAATTTCGTTTGAATAAAACACTGGGGCCCAAGATATATCTGCATGCCTCTTATGCTTAATGTTGGAGAGATAAGACTGTTATCAAGTTTCGAAGATAGTTCAAATTCAGTTATTATGGCTTTATTTTGATTATGTAACTATTCTCTAAATTCTTAATCGTACTTGATATTTGATTCTAATTTAAAAAAAAAAACAAAAAAAACTTAAATTAATTCACAGTAAGTTAAAAATAATGACTAAATTTTATATTATATAAAAATAGTTTAGTATATAATAAGGTAGGTTCATAACCAATCCCTCATCCGGAACCAGTAGAACCTAAACCATAACATCGAGTTTAAAATGTTAAAAATATTTTAAACATCCACCCAGTAGAGTCGACAGAGATTAAAATATTAAAATTTATTTTAAAAGTCCATCTGATAGATATCTCTATAAGATAAAAAAAAGTAAATTCGATATTACACTTAGAGCTTAAACAGTTTCCCATCTAAAGATAATTACTTACATTTAGAGAAGCTCAAGGCAGCAAGGAACATTATCAAGGCATCGCAGAAATATTGTCAAGACATCACAGTGCATCGCAAGTCACCACTATAGAAATGTCACCAAAGGCACTACAGAAATGACATTATCAAAGCATCGCAAACAAATCATCAAGGCATTACAAAAAATCATCAAGGTATCACAAAAAGTCATCAAGAACTTACTGAAACGTCATTAAAAACTTCACAACAAATCCATTTAAATATTAAAAGCTTCACAAAAAAAGTATAGAAAATTTGAATAAGTTACATAGCAAAACGAACTCACATCTCAGATTCAATAACATACCAGGTGAAAGCTCTATACTGTCATCATGGTCCTGTAAATGTTTGATAATTTTTTTTATGCCATATTTCTGAACCAACTCCATTAAAACTAATGAGTCTTTTTCTTCCATAATTTTAGAAAAGCTGAAACTAGTTTTAGTAAAAAGAAACTGGTGTAATTGTACTTTGCTAAAAATTGTAAGAAAAATTTACAACACCTACACAAATGTCAAAATACATCATCATAGAAACATCATCAAGAACACCGAAATGTTGCAAGAAATCCACACAAACGCCGTCAAGAACTCTACGCAATCGTGAAAAAATACTAGAAGGATCTCTAAAAAAAAAACAAAAAATAAACGATGATCAAAATAACATGTAATATTGAAACCATTCATATGATTGGATAATTTGGTGATGGGGACGTGATTTAGTGCACAGCAAAATGGCCAGCATTAAACTAATCGATACAGCATGGCCGGCATTAGAGTTAGGGTATAGCGGGATTAGTCACGTGTATGCTATGTTCACATTTTTTTTTAGGTACTGTATGTTAGCGTCAGTGTTAAATCGCTCAAGAAAACTTTCTGTTAGTGCACGAAAGGAGGTTTCTTTTGAAAAATAACCAATTTTTGACAAGAGACACTAAATAATAAACAATAATTACGCATCGGGTATTGTGTCGCATGATCAGTTGATTTTGTAATTTTTGTCATGGACTCATCGAGTAAATATCAAACATAATCGCGTTGTTAATCTTTTACAACGTAACAAAGACTATTCACTCAACCAGTCATATACTTTGCTGTCCCTCTTCGAGGCACGGAATATGTTATTAGATGTTATTAAGAAAACCCTTTGTGCCATTTATTTTGCCGTCAAAAATTACAATTGAAATGACACCGTTTTTTTGCACTATCAGAAGAAAGACTAAACAATTTTGTCAGATAATTGAGAACAATATTTCTTATATGTCGAAGTGTTTCATGCCGAATAAAAGGAACTCGATAATAGGTAACCTGACTTCATATTTATAATTTCTTAAAACCGTGTTGAACTGTTTTTTACTTCTTGCATTTTGTCAGATATTCATAAGTATACAAATATCTTGATGTTAATGTAGACAAGTTCTTTACGAATTTAAAAAATTGGTCCAAGTCATTAGTTCATGATGGATGAAAGAAAATTTTGAACGTATAGATTCAACACAGCTGGTAGGATGTGTGTATCCTCCTAATGGTGCCATAATTAGACCGGTCTTTTTTGAAATACTTCTCGACCCATTTCTACTAATAGGTTTGAATGAATCGTTCATTGACATTTTGGTACATTTCAAGACGACGAGTCTTTCAAGTTAACACACTGTTATTGCTGGGTGTACTCATCTCACGCTATATGAGAGAGCCGAAATAAGAAATTATGCACGGATGTTACTGGAGGGAATGACTAAGACTTGCGAGATGGAAGAATTTCAGGATTATAATTACTTTGCTACGTCAATTGAGGCTATTTTGCAAAGGCTTAATAAGGATTTCAACAAATCTCCTCGTAAGGATACGATATAATTTATACTCACAAAAGATTTGGTTAATGCTTAGGAAGGAATTAAATTAACATTATTTGTCGCGGATCAAAATATAATTATAGAAAACTTCTTTGGACGTTGAAATGCATGAGTGTTTGGAAAATCTTTTGGACGAATTTAAAACCCAATTTTGGAGTCATATTCGCCTTTGAAATTTTGTCAGAATTTGTTTACTACATACTCTTTTATCAGGTCGAATTCAATATTTTACCAATTGAAAATATTCCCTTTTCAATGGTCTATCTCTTTTCAGCAAACGTAGAATTCATAATTGGCACTATGACATTTTTGAATAAATTGTGTCTGATCAACATTTATGCGAAATGGATTCAACAATGCACAGCACCTATTATAAAAGAGATAATAGGTGTCCTTGATACATTCGTCGAATGGACTGAAATCAGACGTGATTAGAGATGGGGAAAATGCACATTTTATAACATGCGCATGTTATATAATTGCATGTTATAATTTTTGTATTTTATATTTTCCCTTTGGAAAATATTGAGTATTGGCTCAAATTTTTGCCCGACCCTTCTGTTCATTTATTTTCTTTTCTGGATTTTTTTGACCAGTTGCGTCCATATTTCTTAATTCTGCCCGACATTATACAATCTGGCCTAAATTATATATACTAATATATAAAATTTAGATGGGATAAATGTGCATGATTCGAAATCATGCGCACGCATGAAACCCATTTCTAGATGTGATACTTTTAAATTTGCTACAATTGTAATTTTGACATATCAAAAAATCAGTCATTGTCTGAGGACACCATTTTATTGATCTGTAGATACTGGAATGCTTTATGTGTGCGTTCACTCAAGTATTCAAAAAATATGGTTTGGTTTCTACAATAATCCATCGTGAGGTTACTATACAATTATATCATTACGTGAACTTAGAGTGTTACAGACCACTGAAAAAAAAGTGATGCTAACATTTATGATGATACTATTTTAATCTTGCAAACTCTATTCTTCAAGATCTGGATTATGGTGATGGTGCTGTAAGTTTTTAATTATAAGATTTTCTCTACATTATTTATTTATTTAGTGACCTGAAAATGTGTAAATCAGGTTAGAATTGTTTACGGCACTCATGCTCTTATATCTTTTATATAGGTTGCCAAAAACAATTAGACTTTGGGTTGTAAAGCTTATTATTTATTGGCTCAGCCATGTGTAATTGATTCTTTTATCATTAATTATTTACTTTGAATGGATATTTTGCTTATAATTTTATAAATTTAATGTTAGTGGCACGTCACCAAGGAACTGTATTGCTTACAAAGCTTATGGATTTTTAGAAAATAAATCCAGTAAATAACGAAATTAAAAGCTCAAAACCTGGTTTCATTTAACAACACTCACATAAGCACTATTGAATGAAACCACAAAGTTTTGGAGTGTATACCATAGGTCAAATTACAAACGTAGTGCAGATAATATAGTGATAATCACTAATAATAAAATTTTGGGATCGGCGTTCTATATCAAAAAAAATCGATTTTACTTCGCCTTTAATTTCTCCCGCAATATTTAACATTTTTAAATTCTATAAAAACAAAATGGTTAATGAAAAGTGACTTTATAAAGTAATAACGTTAAAATTTTATCTCACTAATTGAAATATGTCACGGCTTACCTGAGTATCTGCTATCATACGATTTACTGCGACCAAATAGTAATTCGTTGGCCAAGTTTTCTTATAAAATTTAAAGAGCATGTAAAGAGAGCTTTAGCAAGTATAGTTTTATTTGTACATGTTTTATTGGTTTAAAAGTTATTAAAGATATAAAAATCCGGCAAATAATTTACTATGCGGCCTGGCTCGAATTATATTTGTAAATTGATAACAGACACCTAGGTAAGCCATGATATATTTTAATTAATGAGATAAAATTATAACGTTATTACTTTATAAAGACACTTTTCATTAAACATCTTGCTTTTGTAGAATTTAAAAATGTTAAATATTGCGGGAGAAATTAAAGGCGAAGTAAAATTGATTTTTATATAATATTCTAATATAGGACACCAATCTCAAAATTTTATTATTATAAAAAAAATTTATTAGTGATTATCACTGTACTATGTTTGTAATTCGACCTATGGTATACATCCCAACAAAGTGTGCGTGCAACACTCAAGCACTTGCTTTTGCCTTAATTTGGTTATTCCTTTTACGCACATTATTGTTTTTAGGTTTCGCCTTTCGCAGGAGGTTTCGTCATTACGCCAAGGGTTTCGTCTTTCGTCTTCAGCCGGTTTTAGGTCTCGTCTTTCGTCATCACGCAAAAATGGTTTCGTCTAACACTCTTTGATGGTCATCAAATTTGATGTTGGTCTTGCAGTGAAGATTTGTAATGGATTACGTCCAGAATTTTACACCTGGAACACCAAATTGTTATGTTGAATTGGCTAATCAATGCGTTAATTCGGATCCGCTAAAACGACCTTCCGCTCATGCTATTTGGAATAAACTTTATAAATGGAAAAAAAAAATGTATGGAATGGGATCGGATCCAGATGAAATTAAAAAGCAATTCTTAGATGCTGATAAAATAATTAAAAATTTACCGAATCCATCACAAAAACATTCAGATTCTATATACACTAGCAAATTTATCAAACACTGAAAGTATCGAATGAAAATAAGTACTGTATTTATTTAAAAATTACACTTTATTATTTTTCATTGATTAAATATTATAATATTCTGTATTATTTAGATTCTAATATAGTTGATTTTTATATTTCAGATAATCTTGAAGATTATATGGTATGTATAAAATATGATAAATAAATCTATTTTACGTAACAAATAATTTAATTGGTTTTAATATTTTAATCATCTAAAGGTGAAAATTCAGTAAAACTTATTACCAGGTCGAACTATACAGTATATGCTAATCAGTTATAGAGATAATCATACCGATACCAAATCAATGAAATTATTAAAAGTCTGAAGTATACATGTGATTCTAAACTATTTGTGAAAATAAGAAAATATGACGTAAAAAATATTTTAGATATTGAAAATATTTTAGGATACTTAAAATAATTTAAGATTTTTATTTTGTTTGAAAAATGAGACTTATCTTTTAAAGCCATCTACACATTTTATTTTCAACCAATTTTCTAGAGTGATTAATAGGTTTGGTTGAGTTGGTTTGAAAAATTAGTTACAACACAAACAGCTTCGAATATTAAGTTCTAATCTAATTACTCAAGTTTATTTTCAGTTTAGCAAACCAATTTTATAACTCTAGTCTGATTTAGGAAGTTCCAAAGCATGACACTCCAATTAACTACTTTATAATTTTCGAATACTTTTACTTACATTCATAAGTAAAGCGAAGCAATTCAAGAGATTCCCTTTTGTTTTTTATTTAGAAATTCGAATCATAGTGCACCATCGAATAGGATCATGCTGAGTTTAACTCCGATGGTTGACGTAAGAAACCACCCTGGCGTCGCCCAAAAAACCAGTTACGTACTGGAATTTGAAATTAAGCATCAGTACTTAATAACTCAAATAGCGATACTAATGACTTATCAATAAATATATTGCAATGAAGCAATATACAAATTGCGTTTTAAATTATTTTGCTATACATACATATATTGTATATTCTTTTTGTTTTTATTAACGCTGCATCCATTAATTTACGATATAATAAAAATATAAATTTTCGAAAAAAGCGAATCGTTTATAAAAAATATTCGAATTATCATCTATATATAAGTATCTAAGTTAATTTTCTTAATATATTATTATTTCGACAATTAGTCTTCCAAAATCAGTTTTCTATAGTTAGCGAAATTAATTTTTACAAGTGGCGAAATTATTGAATTATTGACTATTTGAATTCTTAAA